GTATAATATATTGTACATATATATATGTGTGTGTATGTGCGTGTGTGTGTGCTGATATGTATTTGTATATTTATATTTGTGTAAATTCATATATATATATATATGTGTAGGTATATAGATATATATATATGTATATATATGTAGGTATATATATATGTGTGTGTTTGTGTGTGTGATTTTGTGTGTGTGTATGTGTGTGTGTGTGTGTTTGTGTGTTTGTGTGTGTGTGTGAGTGTATGTGTCAGTTTGAGTGTATATAACTATACAAAAAATNTATATGTATATACATATGTATATACATATATATATATATATATATATATATATATATATATATATATATATATATATATAGATATAAATATATAAATATAAATATAAATGAATATATTTATACATATAATTCTATAAAGATATATATTTAAATATAAAATATATATATATATATATATCTTTATATATATATATCTTTATATATATATATATATATATATATATATATATACCTTAAACGATAAAAATACCCATCAATTTTTTGATTTGCTATCCATGACTTCAACAGAATTTGGAGTTTCTAAGTATGCGCAACAACAAGATTCAAGTGCTGCCTGACGAGATAGGGGAACTCAAATGTTTGCAAGTCTTGGACTTGGCATTCAATTCATTAGAAACAATCGATCCAGGTATGTACTTCTGTTGTATGTTGAGCTGCCGGAGAATCGAGTGGCAATGCAGATAGGTATCACTCAACACTCAGAGTTCGTTACACACGGCACTGTAATGTGCTTGAGTTTAGACAAGAGTTACTGCGTATAATTCGTATTTTACAGTTGTTTTTATTGTAATTTCAATTGCCGATGGCACCTATCACGACACCTACTATATCAAAACCGTAAATCGATAGCAAAAACAATTGCAGGTGTCCTGCGCTCACTGTCTGCCTACATAGTAAGATGGATAAGGAAATACACCTCCAATTCCTATACAACATTTAAAACTGATATTTTTCTATTGAACATTTCAGGCAGCGACTATAGAGCTAGATATCATCTCTGTAGTATTCTATGCAGATCACTGATGAACACTATTTCCAGTTTAGTATTTTATCCCGTCCTACACCCCGAAAGGTAAATCATATCTAAAGCCTCTATAAGCATCATTGGCGATACTGTCATACTCACGCACAACTTTCGCGTCCTCCCAATCGACTCTTGTTATGTGACTCATCACACTTATTTTACCCACACAGTGGCAACTTGTTATAGCCTGAAGACTTTGGATATGCAAAACAACCAGATAACTGAGCTCCCGGCGAACATAGGCAACTTGACCAACCTGACACGTATCGGCTTACGGTACAATCAGTTAACGCACCTACCCTTGTCGCTGGGAATGTGCACAAAGCTGGACGAGCTTAACCTGGAAAGCAACAATTTAACAGACATCCCGGACGGATTCTTTGATGGCCTTGTCAAGATCGTGACATTGATACTATCGCGGAATAAGTAAGTGAGAGGACTGCGCAGCGAAATCATATCAATGACACAGTCACGTGTGAAGTATATATAGATTTTAACGCACTTCTATACATCAACCCAAATATATATACACTTATACATACCAAACCAAGTATTCATGTAAACTACGCACGAATGCAATTTCCTTATACCCCAGTAACATCATCGATCTGCTTAAAAGCCCACGCACGTAATGTATGGAAAGGGCGCATATTGTAGCTTAGATCAAGCTCCATATCTCGGAAATCTTAGATGGGAAGCTAGAATGTTGCATTTTTACGTCCACGGACGTTTAGTCCATTTCAAGTCCAGCTATCTAATTAAACCTGGTTTTCAACCCGCGCATCGTCTCAGGTTTACACAGATACCTGCTAAGGTTTCACAGTTGTCGGCTTTAAAGCGACTAGCTATCGACAATAACATGCTGAAGACTATGAACGTCGAACCATTGCTAGGTTTGAGGGTATGTCCTTCTACGTTTATATTACACATGATATTTCGAGCCTGTTTGTGTTTGAGAGTAGGATACGATTAGGACTGAAATTCTGCTTGTGTTGTGCTTGGTAGCCAGTATTGGTGTGTATATATGTATTTACTCTATTGAATCAGTTACAAAACTGACGATGATTGAACGTTCGTTTTATACATGTAGGTGTTTCCGTATATTTATTTTCCTATGAGGATGCATATATTTACTTTCCTGTGAGGATACACGTAGTTCTACATCCGAAGACACGTATATCAACAGATGCTCATTTTCAATTGATTCTATACGAGACAGTAGTGCTATCCGTTGACTTCGTTATTCTGTTGCCTATTTCTCCCTGCGTAGCGTCTTGGGAAGTTGGACATCTCAGAAAACAAGATACGCGAATTGCCTGGTGACATCGACCAATTGGCACAACTGCGTGAATTCTGCGCGGCCAGAAATCATTTGCGAAGTTTACCAGGTATTTTCGAAAAGCAGAAATCTTGTTCACATCAAAATTCATTGTATCCCTCCTTGTTGCCAAAATTTACATTCACAGTTAATTGCCTTCTGTAAAAGTCGTGCCAATCCAAAGTGCAATTTTTCCCCAAACTCACAGAATCTATATGCCGGGCGCACAACGTGACCATATTAAAACTGAATAATAACGACATCCAAGAATTGCCCCAGAACATAGGCAATTTGACAAATCTCATCCACCTTGACATGGAGGGAAACAGTCTGAAGCAGATCCCACCCACAATGGGTGCACTAGTACAACTTAAGTATCTCTCTTTGCAATCGAACGAGATTGAGTACCTACCGAACACACTCCGTACTCTAGTTGAATTATCCAGTCTATATATTGGCGAGAACGGATTGCTCGCATTGCCTCCGTGTATAGGTATGTTAAACTGTGGTTTTTGAGCTATTTTACACGTGAGTAGCTGAACACATTCACAGCATCTTAACACACTCCGCATGTTGAATATGAGTTGGTAAACCTACGTAATGTCGTAAGTTGTGGCACTTATGATTGTTTTGAATGGTGCTGTAAGATTAAGACTAGCGATCGCTCAACTTGAGATCTGCTTAAATCAGATATGAGCAACCCTAATTGCTATTCACGAATTGTTATTCGTGTATCAGATCATGATAGTCAAGCTACACCACGAGAACGGCAGTGTTCCACGAGCAGATGTATATATTCTTCTATATTGGTATGCGATCATATCTGTTGTGTTATCGCCCTGAACCTATGACTCGATAATGTTCTCAGTAAATCATGTATGCAGTTCTACTGTAATAGTCCGCTTTGTGATGTGATATTAAACTTTCTTTCACCATTGCTAACCACACAGGCGACCTACGATCTCTACACACGTTACATATCAATGATAATGAACTAAACACCATCCCAGTGGAGTTGGGATTATGCGAGAGTTTGGAACTGCTCAATGTAGAGGGGAATCCATTCGAAGAATTACCAGCCCACGTTGTTGAAGGTGGACCTCCAGGGATCGTTGCCTATTGCAGGTGAGTATGTTCCTCTTAGCCAGCTTGGACATAAGCAATATATAGGTGTATTTAGCACTTTAAATTCTCGCGACCGTTGTAGCACACAGTATGAGGGCATCGACAAGTCTAATCACAAAGCAGTGTGTTGCCGGACTGCTCTAGAGCTCTCAATCCATTATACCTCCCAGAGGACGAGTGTCACAACGATGATGACCTGACGCTGTCACCTCTTATATAAAAAATCATCTTTATTCTGTTCCCCAAACCAGATCACAATGCATCACGCCATCAAATTGGTGGGAAGGGGGTGTTTAGTTGATATCAGTCTACTTGTGCTCGCAAATAGAGCCAGCAAATTTGACAAGGTAGAGTAAAGGGTCACGACCAACTACCATCCGCACAACAAGTGATACCCTCCGGTGTTGGAATACTCTTTCGCGGCAGAGAACGAGAACCTTGAAACAACACCCGCATATAATAAACCTCGACTGTTGTTGATTTAAAAGATAAGTAATGCGAGTTTCTCATCTTGTGAAGTTGTTGACATCAATAGCATGCCGAAACTCAGACCTTGGTGCTTTTTTTAGATATGCAGGCGCAGTCACGGCACTGGCTGCACTGCAGCATGCCACCAGTAGCTAGTAAGTGCAATCTGTACAATTCTATCCCTCTTGTCAACATATAAAATAGAGAATGATTAAGACTATTTTCATTATGGCTGCCTTTAAAAGTTGCTCGGATTACGACTGTCTCTTAAGCCTGACGCTCACGCCTGCCACTCGTTGTAACTGACGCTTACTCCTGCCTTGATCACATGGTTGACGCTTACGCCTACCTTGGTCATATTACTGACGCTTACGCCTGCCATCACTTATGACTGAAGCTTACGCCTGCCACTCGTTATAGCACCATTGGTAGATATAGCATTACAGTTTTTCATTTTAACATACTTCATTGGACTTTTATAGCATACCTACCGACAGGAACGGTACTTAGCTGTTAACAACGAAAATATAGCGCCTACCTGGTAGTAATACAGTTTAATTTCATTGATGACTCATCGTTCTTATAATTAGAATGGGCTTGGCTCCTACTAAAATCATACTATAGTTCTTGTCTTTCTTACCTCTATGTATAAGTGAAGCGTAGAGTATAGTATACTATATGCTTTGGTATACAATAGACTTGAAAATGAAAATATCGACACCATCGACGGATGAGCCTGGTGTTCAACTGTGTAATATATGTAATAGTTGGGTTGATATATAAGACTGATTTCATTGTAGACTATGTAAGGTGAAGTGGCGTAACCCTTGCTACATCGGCCATCACGCCATTGACGCCGGTGACGCCATTGAAGAAGGAAACCCGAATTGATGCTTAGGCACCGCGAGGGGTGTTGTCTGAATGAAAACCTTCAATCTCAGTGCGTCGACTGTCAGTATGATATACCTGAAGCACCCGTTCTTTACTTTGATTGATACTAGCAACAATTTCCATTTTTGGATTATCCAATGGATGCCTCAGGTTCTCGTTGCTCGAGAGTACAGCAACAGCACGTAAGAAAGAAGCAAAAATATGATGCCACGATGTATGTGTGCGGTAAAATACTGATACGTATTACCAACGATGTACAAGATCGCATTATCTCCCTACCCAAAGCAATCAAACCAGATATTCACCTGCATGTTGCTGAAGCTGATAGATACGCAACTCAATGGCTATTCCCCTGTATGTTGCTGAAGCTGATAGATACGCAACTCAAAGGCTTAGACGCTTACAACCCGGTATAACAGGCATAGAAATAACTAAACGAATTCTGAAAGAGGGGTGGTAAATATATAAAGAACCTAGCTCTAAAACCCTAAAAAAAATCGGATAGAAACAAGCTGCATGCGGATGTGACTATTAGCTCGCCAGTGTAATGATACCAATCACGCGATGGAGTATTTCAAGCATGTATATGCTCCTTAGGTGAAGTAGAATGTGGTCATAATGTTAAGGTTATCGAAGGACATGAGCTGTCATCAAACAAAAAATAGCTAAAGCTTGGATACATGTGTTAATACAAATACCTGCGAGACGTAAACTACTTTGTCAAATTGTTGATGAAGCAGCAGGGCGAATTGGTTGTCGTGTTAGTCGGTTACATTTTGCCACCAATCAGATTGCTGACACAGAGAAGCGAGTGCGGCTAATTGCGGGTGCTATGCCTTCATTCCGATACGTACAAAGCAGTATCACAGCCTCCCGCACATGTCCAGTGGAATGAAGAGAAGTCGGTGGTCTTATTTCGCACCTTAATTTTACATTTTTTTATTAGCAGTAGATTCAGAAAAAAGTACGAAGTGCCTACAGTTTACACCCAGACAAGCAAAAGAAAGTATTACACCATTGTTCCGCCAATGTAGAGAAAATATTATGGCGATGGAAGTGGTTTTCCGACTGCGCGAATTATGTACCACAGAAGACTCAAACACACCCAGAACTATAAGCAGTGCACAGCGAGAGGAGTTCTTTCGTCAGCTTAATACTCCAGCGTTCTGCTTGAAACACAACGGCGAATCTCACATACAGCTTTTAAAACTGTTGTTTGTATTCCTAAGTTATGATGGTCGTTTAAGTAACGCAGTGTGCTGGAATCACAATGTTCGTAATAAGGCGGTAGCGACGATAGGTATAAGCGAAGAGAGCATGAATGATATGTTCGAGAATGATAGTCTGGATACGGGGAAAGACGGTAATCCTACACTTACGCCATAACAATATTTGTTACGTTTATGTATATATCAACATACATGCGTGACACAATTTCAATATATATACG